CCTTTTCCTCCAGTCTCTGGACTGTCCGGTAAACTTCAAAAACTGTGATTCATAAAGCCAACCTTCGCGCCTCAGCGCCACAGCGTCATCCCGGGTCAGCTCTATGCTTTATACTTACAGATTATTATGCATCTTTTCTTGATTTTATTTGTTGAATTCATAGGAACAAATAGGGTACTGTTGGTCTTTCGGCTACTATTCAGCCATATTTGTTTGTTCGCATTTTTTTAGTGAGCATTCGGGTGCATCCCGTTCGGCCCAATATGTGTGAACAGAGTAGATTAAGTGTACATATGTTTTAAGCTTGAAACATTTGGTTCATACGCGAGTTTTGTTTCACATGCGGGCCATTTGTGTAATAGTAACCGAATGACCTATTATATTTGTATAACTTTTAACTGAATTTATGCGAGAATCACAAAAAATGTTTAATCTGTTCGGTTTAGATTCTGGATTATGCCGGCCTCTAGTCAGGGCCGTCTTTAAGGAGGGGCAAAAGGGGCAGCTACCCCGGGCCCAGTTACTCCTGGGGGCCCTAAGGCAGCTGCCCCATGGGCCACCTGAGGTAATCAGGGGCCACAGCCCTTTAATACTGCTCTGGACCGGCCCGGGCCCCTGTTATATGGGGGGTGGCTGACTACATACTCACAGCTTGCCCCCTCACATACTGCCCTGCGAGTCTCTTTGTTTCCTGGGCATGCAGGGAGGAAGTGAGGTCAGATTGCTTCCTCCCAGTAAGAACTGATCACTTCCTCCTCAGTGCCGCTGGGGAGGAGGCACACACCACATGGAGGAGGATGCAAGCATTGTGGGGGAGAGGGACTGAGAAAGCTGATGGCAGACTCCCATCAGCCTGGGCCAGCAAGCTCTCACTGGACACCAGGGAAGCCACCTTTCTGTACCCAAAAGGTAAGGAGACAGGAGGGTGGCTAAATATGTTTTTTTTTTTTGTTTTGCTAATTTCTGATATCACTTTTATTTAAGTGTGTTGGTGTTTGTAATGTAACACACAGGGAATAAGTACATGTTAAAAATCCTAGAAGAACCTGACAGTTCCCTATTAAATATAAATTTAAAAAGTATTTATTTTAACATATTGCATCAAGTGTTATCAAAGGCTGTACACCATTTTCAAATGTCACTTTTGCCAAATTCTGGACCAGGGTATGTAAGAACAGAGTTGAGACATTATATTGGCCAAGGTTACTGGGAGTTGCTGTCCAAGAGCTGCTAGAAGGCAGAGATTAAAATATGTAAATGTACACATATATATGTGTGTTTCTGGCTGTGTTTATGTCCTTGTGTGTATCTGGCTGTGTTTGTCTGTGTGTCAGTGTTTCTGTGTGTATGTATACCTCATACACCTGTATGTGCACCTGTGTGTGTGTAAGTGTGCATCTGAGTGTTTGGTAATGCATACATCCCAGCATTTTAATGCCAACACAAATACACTCCTACATTCCATCTCTAGCACTGTACACATATACACCCCTGCATTTATACCTTTATGTATGTGTGTATCTGAGTGTGTGTGTATATACCTGTGTCAGTGTGTGTGTGTATGTGCCACTGTGTGCATATCAAAGTGATTGTATCTGTGTGTCAAAGGGTGTGTATCTGAGTGTGTGTATGTGCCAGTATGTGTCAAGGTGTGAGCATGTGTCAGTGTGAGCATGTGTGTATCTGCGTGTTAATGTGTATGTGTATATGTGTTATAGAAATCACACAACATGCAAACAGACCCCTGCAAACACAAACATTACAAACACACCAGTTTGCTGAAACACTAATACTACACACAAATGTACACATGTATTTAAAAGACAACACTACATCCAAACACCCCCCTGCATGCAAATACAAACATTACATGCAAACACATTCCTGTATTAAAACGCTAAAATTATATACAAACACCAACTCTACACACAAAAGTACACCTGCATTTAAAAGCCAACACTACAAACAATCACACATCCCTGCATTAAAATGCAAACACTACACACAAGTACACCACTGCATTCCAATGGTAACAGTACATACAAATACACTCCTACATGCACACATAGACTCTATACAATAACATGCTGACATTCATTTGCACAAACACTGCTCAAAAATACAACCCTGCAAGGATGGTAGATCCCCAGCTGGCATAGCATCGCAGGAATTGTATGACAGATGGGGATCTATCTTTTCTTTACTCTTGTGCTACAGGGCAGGCCTGAATTTTTTTTTGTTGCACCAAGGCACTCTCTACATTAGTTTCGCCTCTAGGTTGGGGTGGAGGGAGTGATTGCATGCCCAGGGGGCCCAAACAGGTGCTTGCCCAGGGTCCAATCAATATTAAAGACGGCCCTGCCTCTAGTGGCTAGTTTATAATACTACATAAGTCTATATATGTTACGTTTTTGAGACAGGATGCTTTGTTCTGGTAGTTTTAGGTATTAGCAAGTGCATTGTTTGTCCAAGTACATGTACATTCTCAGGTATGTTATGACAAGATGGTATTTTGTTTTATTTTGCCTTGTTATTTGACTCTTTCGTCAGGCTGTGGTCTGGGTCTCAGCTGGTCTAGAGGTCTCATAGGTGAGGTTCTCTGTTACGGATTATGCTTAAAATGTTAAATAAAGGCCAATGGCCCTCATGGCATCTCTCAACGGTTAATATTTTTTTCTACATACACTCCTTTTGAGGTTCAGATAAACAATATTTGTTTCTTATACCGACGATCCACTCACATTTAGGTGAGTATTTTCGTACAGGCTAATGGTAGTTATGTCAATTAGTCCATGGATTCTTACATAGTTACATAGTTACATAGCTGAAAAGAGACTTGCGTCCATCAAGTTCAGCCTTCCTCAGAAATGTTGTTGCTGTTGATCCAAAAGAAGGCAAAAAACCTGGTCTGAAGCACTTCCAATTTTGCCACAAACTAGGAAAAAATTCCTTCTTGACCCCAAAATAGCAGTCAGATGTCTCCTTGGATCAATCAGCTATTACCCCACTAATTAGAAATTATATCCCTGTATGTTATGTTTTTGTAAGTATTTATCCAATTTCAGTTTAAACATCTGTATGGACTCTGACAAAACCACCTCTTCAGGCAGAGAATTCCATATCCTTATTGTTCTTACTGTAAAAAAACCTTTTCTTTGCCTTAGATGAAATCTCCTTTCTTCCAGCCTAAATGTGTGACCTCGTGTCCTATGTATAACCCTGTTTATGAATAGATTTCCAGATAAAGGTTTGTACTGGCCCCGAATATATTTGTATAAAGTTATCATATCCCCTCTCAGGCGCCGTTTTTCCAAACAAAACAGATTTAATTTTTGTAACCTTTCTTCATAACTAAAATGCTCCATTCCTTTTATCAATTTTGTAGCTCGTCTCTGGACCCTCTCCAGTGCCATGATATCCTTCTTTAGAACAGGTGCCCAAAATTGCACAGCATATTCAAGGTGTGGTCTTACCAGCGATTTATAAAGAGGCAAAATTATATTTTCATCCCGAGAATTTATGCCCCTATTAATACATGACAAAATCTTACTGGCCTTAGCAACTGCAGATTGACATTGCATATTGCTGCCTAATTTGTTGTCTATAACAATGCCCAAATCCTTCTCGTGTGTGGTTATCCCTAATTTACTACCATTTAGTGTGTAAGTTGCTTGTGCATTCTTAACCCCGAAGTGCATAACTTTGCATTTCTCTATGTTAAATTTTATCTGCCATTTTAGTGCCCAGTCCCCCAATCTATCCAAATCTCTCTGCAACAAAGCAATATCCTGCTCACATTTTATTACTTTACAAAGTTTTGTGTCATCTGCAATCACTGATACATGGCTTTCAATGCCTATTTCAAGATCATTTATAAATATGTTAAATAGAAGTGGTCCCAAAACAGAACCCTGAGGGACACCACTTACCACTTTTGTCCAGCCTGAAAATTTACCATTAATGACAACTCGTTGTACTCTGTCCTTATACTGATTTATCAAGTATTACATTTCAGGTTACAAGGCGCTCAGAATTTGAGCAACAATCACTGCACTCCTTGTTCTCTACTGTTTCATATTGGTTACTGTTTTTTAGTTATGCGGGCCTATGATCTGACCCTTACAATCAGGGCCGCCTTTAACTCGGGAAAAAAGGGGCAGCTGCCCCGAGCCCAGTTACTCCTGGGCCCCCCCCCCAAAAAAAAAAAAATCCCTGGCCGATTCAGATAGGCCCCACACTCTAGGGCCACCTGGTGGCCTTGTACCAGCAGAGGCCCAGTTGGGTGCTGTGGCCCTTTAACAGCGCGACCATGCCCCTTGCTTTTTGGCAGCCAGCTGGGAAAGAAGTGACAAGCGTGAGTCACTTCCTCACATAAAGAGAGCTGCTGTATAGAAGGGTGCAGGATGAGCCACCTGTGAGGGAGGAGGAGACAGTGAGAAAGGGGGCTCCTCACTCCCATCAGCCTCAGGCACCACACTGGACCCCGGGGAAGCCACCTCCAGCAAAAGGCAGGAAACTGGAGGGTGGGTTAAATATGTCAATTTTACATCTATGTCAATATGTCTCTGTGTGTGTGTGTCAGTATGTCTGTCTGTGTATCTGTGTGTCTGTCAGTATGCCTGTGTACCTGCGTGTGTATCAGTAAATCTGTGTGTGTGTGTCAGTATGTTTGACAGTGTATGTATCTGTGTGTCCCCGTGGGTTTGTCATTGTATGTGCCTGTGTGTGTCAGAATGTCTGTGTGTGTGTTTCAGTATGTCTGCCAGTGTATGTATCTGTGTGTCGGTATGCCTGTGTGTGTGTCAGCATGTCTGTCAGTTTATGTGCCTGTGTGTGTGTCAGTAAGTCAGTGTGTCTGTGTGTGTCAGTATGTATATCAGTGTATGTGTCTGTGTGTATCAGTATGTCTGACAGTTTATGTGCCTTTGTGTGTGTCAGTATGTCTATCAGTGTGTCTGTGTTGTGTCAGTATGTATGTCACTCTATGTACCTGTGTGTGTGTGTGTGTGTGTGTGTGTGTGTGTGTGTGTCAGTATGTCTATCAGTGTATGTGCCTGACAAAGACATACTGACACACACACAGGCACATACACTGATGGACATACTGACAAACATACAGGCACATATGCTGATAGACATACTGACACACAGGCACATATACAGACATACTGACACACACAGGCACATATACAGACATATCGACAAACACATGCAGGCACATACACTGAAAGACATACTGTGTGTGTGTGTGTCAGTATGTCTGTATATGTGCCTGTGTGTCTCAGTATGTCTATCAGCGTATATGCCTGTGTGTGTGTGTATAAGTATGTCTGTCAGAGTATATATCTGTGTGTGTCAGTATGTTTGTCATTGTATGTGCTTGTGTCTGTAGGTAAATGTCTGTGTGTGTGTCAGTATGTCTGTCAGTTTATCTGTGTATTTAAATGTGTCTGTGTATCTGTATGTTGTCAGCGTGTGTACCTGTGTGCATATCTGTATGTAGTCAGTGTGTGTATCTGCATGTGTGCCAGCGTGTGTACCTGTGTGTCTGAGCATCTGAGCATCATAGAAACACACTGTGAAGAAATCCCCCTATTTGGCTTCAAAATAACAATTTGTATTCCCTTGTTTCATGTTATCTTCCCCTATGGCATTCGGTAGGTAAAACTACCGAATCGAGACCACCTTGTTGCCCATTATGAGTACTTTACCTCCCTGCCTGTTGGGCATGTTCGCCTAAAGTTCTACACGAACTGTATGCACCACCGCCATTTCGTGACTTCCACGTGTTCGCGGCCATTTTAACTCCCGAACAGCGGTGTTTGCCGTCGAGTGTCTGTAACTGAAAACGGACACTCAAATAGGCGAACACCGCTGAATCCTCCATACCTTCGGTAGAACCCCATTAAAACTACCGAATGACCGGGCATTCGGTAGAAAGACTTACTAACAGATGGGGAGTTCAGCGAACCCCCGATGGCCGGCCGTTCGGGAGGTTTTACACGTGACCTAAGACCGACTGCAGGGCCAGAATTCGTGGAACTGTTTTCGGCTACTTTGCCCGTCCGGTCGGTCAAAACTTCTAAGTCCCATATCTCCCGAACGGCTGAACCGAATGGACTGATTTTTTCATATGTTGGTCCCCCAGAGTACAGTTACCAGTCTTTGGGGTACATCCAGACTTTGGGGAAAATGTATTCCGTTTTAATTGGGTTAATTGGTTATCTGAGGGGAGGAGATGTACAGTATGTATATTGTTATGATTGGTTGTACAGTTAATTATATGGGAGGCTCCCTAGCATGGGCAGAATCCCATAAAAAGAGAATTCCTATCAATAAATCCTTAGTTCATCTTTGTACCCTTCTTCTGACTACGTATGCTGTTTGGGGATTTGTGTGTTTTACTGAGGGAATTATCCAGTGGCACTATTGGAACTACACTAGGATTCGTCTATCATAACTACCGAACGGAGGGCTATGTTCACTCGGCTCTGGCGGTTCGGGAGGAAACTACCGATTGAGGTTTAAATGTACTTGGTTTCCTCACAACTGGTGGCAAGCGGCGGGATTCGAATCCCGAATGGACATTTCAAACAAGCAAAGGAATGAATGGCTCAGCAGTACCAGCAACTTAAGAGAACCATGCTAAAGGATTTACTGGAAGCTCGAGGCGTAATAGCAAGCAACAAAACAAAAGCCACGTTAATTGCAGAGCTGTTACAGAGCGACAGAACCAGCACTACAGAAATGGAGCGTGAGGAAGAAACTGAAATGCAGAAAGACATCAGATGGATGCTCAGTTTATTGGGACCTAATCCAGCAACAGAGGCGGTTCTGCAGGTCATGGCACAAGCCAGGCAATCACAGAAGGAGCGAGATGATCGAGACAGACCGCTAGAGGGGGATTTGCTACACTCTCCAGGAATTACAAATGACCTACCAAGGACGCTGACTTTAAATTATGCTGCATTTAAAAACTTTAATGACAATGAAATGGAGATTGATAGTTATCTGCAGGACTTTGAAAGACAATGTGCACTGGAGGGATTAGACTCTACCAAATGGGCTGCAGTACTGAGCAGCAAGTTGTCCGGCAGAACATCAGAAGCGGCACGAGCAATACCTGATGAGGATATTCACAATTATGAGAAAATAAAAGACATTTTGTTGGCCAGATACGCTGTTACCCCTGAGGCATACAGGAAGAAATTCCGGGAACTGAGGAAAACAGGAAGGGATTCCCATACTGAATGGGCATTCCGGCTACACAGGGCAGCCCGAAATTGGATGAAGGGCTGCCAAGCGACCTCTCTGGAGGATGCCTTGCAACTCATCCTATTAGAACAATTTTTTAATCATACAGCAGATGACATTAAGGACAACGGCTGCACCACCTAGAGCCCCCCTGAGTAATCCGCCACACAGCTCAGCAGCCGCACTACGACCCCCGGCAGTGTGTCACTACTGCAAACAACCGGGACACTATAAAAACCAGTGCCCTCGTCTAAACCGGGGAAGCTGGGAAAGGCCGCCACCACAACCCCAACCCAGAGCCGCTGCTCATTGTGTACAGCAGGAGAGTGCACCGTGGTTCCCTAACCACGTGGAACAATGGAGTGTGTTGCACGAAGTCAACCCCGTGCAAGCCGGAGGCGACAACCGGGACCACCACACTGTCAAGGCCCAAACTCACACTGGTCGCACTGTGGCGGTAAGAGTGGCCGGGGGTGCCATTCACAAATTGCCTACGGCCAAGGTCCTTGTGGATTGGGGCTCTGGATCTAAACAATTGGAGGTCGGCATTATGCAGGAGCTGCCAGCCGAAGTACTGTTGGGGAATGATGTGGGCTGTCTAACCTCCCAATTAGCCCGGGACACCGCGTCCGAAGCCTACCCGGTTACCACCAGAGCTCAAGCCAGACTGGAAGCACCGCCGCACTCTGAGGAAACCCAGGTAGGAGTTGAAATAACCCCTTTACCCGACCCCCCTTCCCCATTCTGGGATACCCCCCAGGGATTCGAGCAGGAACAAAGGACTAACCCGACTCTAGACGGGTATAGAAAAGCAGTAGACGGTAGTAGGGGCGACAACCCACACGAAAGATTTGAGTGGCACAAGGGACTGTTGTATAGGGTGACGGATGGGGCAGGACACAGGGCCGCCCAGGTTACTAAAAGGCAGCTGGTAGTACCCCGCAAGTTTCGGGCTGAGTTATTAAGACTCAGCCTTGATATTCCCCTAGCCGGACATTTAGGGGTTAAGAAAACTAGAGACCAGTTGACCCAAACTTTCTTCTGGCCCAGAGTCACACAAGACATCAAATATTACTGTAGGACCTGTGACGTTTTCCAAAAAATAGGGAAACGGGGTGACCACCAGAAAGCGAAGCTCCACCCGTTACCCATCATAGATGAACCGTTCCACCGGGTAGCTGTGGATTTAATAGGACCCCTCAGTCGACCCAGTCAGTCTGGCAAAAAGTTTATACTTACTGTAGTGGACTATGCCACTCGGTACCCTGAAGCCGTGGCCCTCCCCAATATAGAGGCCGAAACTGTAGTCGAGGCCCTGGTCAAAATATTTTCCCAGGTAGGTTTTCCCCAGGAAATCCTATCCGACGAGGGACTCAGTTCACAGCTCTCCTGACACAGCAGCTGTGGCAGAGCTGCGGAATAAAGGTCCTATTTAGCGCCCCCTATCACCCTCAGACCAATGGACTCTGTGAACGTTTTAATGGCACGCTCAAGCAAATGCTAAAAACGTTCGCAGAATCCTGCAGGGACTGGGATAGGTATCTACCCCATCTTCTGTTTGCCTATCGTGAGGTGTCCCAGGCATCCACGGGGTTCTCCCCCTTCGAACTCCTGTTCGGGAGAAAAGTTCGGGGGCCCCCTGGATCTCGTACGGGAACACTGGGAGGGCAACACGGATGCTGGGGGGATTCCTATAGTACAGTACGTACTGGAGTTCCGCGATCGTCTGCGGACACTCACCGAATCAGTTCGGGAGAATCTGCAGGCGGCTCAGAACTGCCAGAAGAAGTGTTACGACAGGGGTGCTCGAGACAGAGTCTTAGACTTAGGCCAAAAAGTGCTAGCCTTGAGGCCCGCCAAGAAGGATAAGCTGCAGGCGGCCTGGCAGGGGCCCTTCAAGGTGGTAGAGCGAATAAGCGATACCACCTACATTGTAAGTAAATGTTCAGATGAAAGACTGACCAAAGTCTTTCATGTAAACATGTTAAAGCCCTACTACGAGCGAACGGAAGATGTCGGCGCCGTATGCGCCCCCTCTTCCGAAGATAGTGAGGGACTTCCCCTCCCTGATCTGTTAGACCCTTCACCTTGTAGTATTGACCAGGTAAGCCTTGGTCAGAACCTACAACCCCTAGAGCGGGGAGAAGCGTCACGCCTGCTCCAGGAATATCAGGTCATGTTTTCTGCCATTCCAGGCTATACCTCCACTGCGGTACACCAGGTAGAGACCCAGGGAGGGATGCCACTGCGGCAGCAGCCCTATCGTATTCCTGAGGCCATGCGTGAAAGCATGCTGGCGGAAATTAACGACATGCTCAAGTTAGGGGTAATAGTCCAGGGTGTTCGAGAGAATTCACCAAGCAGGGCTTACGTTAAAACCTGACAAATGTCACGTTGGTATGGCTGAGGTACAGTAACTCGGCCACAGGGTAGGGTCAGGTAAACAGCGGCCTGAGCCTGCCAAAATAGAAGCCATAGCCAATTGGCCCCAACCCCGGACTAAGACCCAGGTCTTAGCCTTCTTAGGAACGGCCGGCTATTACCGGAAATTTGTCCCCGACTATAGCACCCTGGCCAAACCTCTCACTAACCTCACCAAAAAGGCCCTTTCCAAACAGGTTACCTGGACCCCAGAGTGCGCGGCGGCCTTCCAGAAACTGAAAGCAGCGCTCCTGTGTTGGCAGCACCCGACTACTCTAAACAATTTCTTGTCCACACAGATGCCTCCATGTTTGGGCTGGGAGCCGTGTTAAGCCAGGTGGGAGACGACGGCATGGAACATCCGGTGCCCTATCTCAGCCGTAAACTTTTGCCCCGAGACGTCAGCTATGCCACCGTGGA